TTTTTTTTTTTTTTTTTTTTTTTTTTTTTTTGATGAGTGCTGTGCTATGGAAATCAACATCAGGAACTTGGGGGTGGGGGGTGGGAATGGATTATTTTCCTTTGATGCCACCTACCATCATATAATACTTCCCTAACCTGGGTCAGCCATCCTACTTAGCCTCTGTTTGCCTTAGTCTCCTCAACTTTAAAATGGGGATAATAATAGCACCCATCTCCCAGCATTGTTTGTGAGGAATAAATGAGATAATATTTGGAAAGTTTACAAGAGGTGCCTGGGAATGGAGTTATAGCTTGATCAGCATAACTCTATCATGGTGACTGCAAAAAAAAACCAAACCAACAAAAACACCCCCAAAATATTCTGAGCCCATATCCTCTTGGTGGTGGGCCAGAAGTGACATCTTCATATTCTGCTATGAAGTATGTCAGTGGAAAAAGGGCAGGGAAAGTCATACTCTTAAACTAGTTTTACTACCATTTCATTGATGTTATTCCAAGATCTGACCATTTATTACTCAACCGATCCTAGATGCAATGATTTGTTTTAATCCTAGTTGACATTTAAATCGTTCTTCTCTGGTTACAAAGTATTTTCACATATATGGTCTCATTTGATCCTCAGAGCAGTTCTGTGAGATGTTATCTTTTTCTAGATAATTTGGAAAATGAAGCTTAGCAAGAAGTAGTATGATTTAGTAATAAGCAGAATGGAGTAGTAGTAATAATAATAATAATCATAGCTAATATTTTTATAGCATTTTAAGGTTTGCAAGTGTTTTTCATACATTGTGAAATAATGAGAAAAGTACCAGATTTGGTGTCAGAGGAATCTTGGCTCTTTCATTTACTGCCAATGTGACTTTAGGCACTACTCTGGATCTCTATGGCTACAGTAAACTGTAAAAAAAAAAAAAGCATTGGACTTGATGGCATGTAAATCTCCTTCCAGATATTAAATCCTATAATTGTGTACTGTTAGTAAGGGAGAGAGGAAGATTTGGGATTCAAGCAAAGACCTTCTTAGTTCTGGGCCATTATTTTTCCCTATGTGACATTGCCCTTTTTCAACTATATTTAAAAATCTTCCATTCTTGTGGATAAGAATATTATGGATTTTGGTACATTTCACTAAATTAGGGAGAGAGCCTTACCTAGTGATTAAATCATTCATCTGGGAACCAGAAACTCCACCTTCATCTTCTGGGAGGGGAGAGGCACTACTCTACAGGACATTAGGCAAGCCATGGGACAATGTGTGAACAGGGGTAATATTTGCAAGAGTATTTTAAGATGAAAACATTTTGGACCTGTTAGCAGAAAGAAGCTTAGTAGATATGAAGGTCATTCCTCAATTGTTCATGAACTAAATGTCTAGGTAGGCTTAAGATCTTGCCTTTTGCTTTCTTATTTTTTGTTTCTGCCCTGGGCCTCTGTTTCCTTCTCCAGAAAAAGACTTTATTCAAATGATCTCTAAGAGCCCTATTAGGCCTACAATGCTATGACTATGACTTTTTTATTATTTTATTACTAGAGGGAGCTAGCTGGCTCAGTGGATAAAAGAGCAGTACCTAGACTCAGGAAGACCTTAGTCCATATCTAACCTTAGACATTTTGTAGCTCTGTGATCCTGAGCAATCACCTACTATTAGCACCCACCTCCCAGGGTTGTTGTGAAGATCAAACGAGATAATATTTGGAAAGGGTTTATCGCAATGCCTGGCACATAGTAGGCATTTAATAAATGCTTCCTTCTTTCCTTGTTGGTACCTCCAGGATTTATAAAAGGTGACAATTGAGGCCACTGTTCACTTTGTTGTTGCTCAGTCGTTCAGTTGTGTCAGACTCTTTGTGATCCCATGGACCATAGGAAACCATGTCCTTCTATCCTCCACTCTGTCCTGAAGGCTGTCCAAGTTCATGTTCTTTGCTTCCATGACACTAACTATTCATCTCATCCTCTGCTGTCTCCTTTTCCTTTTGTTTTCAATGTTACCCAGCATCAGGGTTCTAATGAGTCCCATCTTCTCATTATGTGACCAAACTATTTAAGCTTCAACATCAGTATTTTACCTTGTGAGTAGCCTGAATTTCTTTCTTTAAGTGTTGCCTAATTTGACCTCCTTGCCATCCAAGAGACTCTCAAAGGTCTTCTCCATCACCACAATTCAAAAATGTTGATTAGTTCTGGTGAAAAATGGGTAAGAGTAGGGGAGAAGGTAGAAACTAATTACAAAAATAAAATTCATTATGTAATAAAACTGGGCCTAACTACCATATCAGAGATAATGAAGAATTGATTGCATTATTTTGCTTATTGTCATCTAATAGAAAGAAAAATATGTGTTGAAGAATAATTAGTATTTGTGATAGAAGAGACATTCTTTAGTTTAAAGCATCACTTGGCACCCTCATCTTAATGTCTACTCTTTTGCCATTTTAACTTTCAGATACAGATATAAATTTCCTATTCAAGCAAGCCCTCACCATTGTTGGAACAATGCCCTTTACTTACATGCTGGAGAAGTGGAGATGGTTGGTCTTCAAGGGTGAAATTCCCAAAGAGGAATGGATGAAAAAGTGGTGGGAGATGAAGTAAGTTAACAAGTATTCTCTGAGTCTTTGCTATAGGGCCAGGCACTGTCTTGATGCAAGGGTAGGGAATCTGTGGCCTCGAGGCCACAGGTTCCCCATCCCTGTATTAGGGACTTATATAGGAAAATCAAAGAAAAAGGTACCTGTCTTCAAAGAGTTTATAATCTGGCTGGAGAGGAAGAAATTTTTGGTACTTTGGTGAATCCATGAGTACTAACTCCATGGATACAGATCAAAAGCCTTGGCTTTTCATTCAGTATCATTAATTCCTGTCCATGTTTCCCCATAAATCCAATACAGAGGCTCTATCCAACACTATGAGAAGCCAGTTATGTGTTATTTTTATATCTCTTTGGCATCAATAAGCCATTTTTACTGACCATCTGTTAGCTCATTCTTGCGGCAGGATATATGCATATAAAAATGGTAATAATAATACTAATAAGGCAGCATGTAAGTGCCCAGGACTGATGTAGAGAATAGATACAGGAATTTGGGGGGAGGGGAGACAGACAGACAGAGATAGAATCATTGTAGACTAGGTGAGGTTTTTTTGGACTCTTCATAGTAGTGGTCGAGCTTATCATAGAGGATTTAGACGAGTAGGGAGGAGAGGAGAGGAAACTCCAGGAAGGGGGAAAATATGGGGCAGCAGGAAAAAAAGAATGGAAGCATAGACAAAGAATTTTATAATACTAAGAGACATGACCTGAAGTAGTCTGTTTCTAGGGCAGCTAGGTGGCACAGTAGACAAAGTGCTGTGCCTGGAGTGTGGAAGACCTGAGTTCAAATGTGACCTCAGATACTTACTAGCTGTGCAAGTTGTTTAACCCTGTTTGCCTCAATTTCCTCATCTGTAAAATGAGTTGGCAAAGGAAATGGTAAATTGCTTCAGTACTTTTGCCAAGAAAACCCCAGATGGTGGGGTCATGAGGAGTTAGGAATGACTAAACAACAACAAGAAGTATGTAGCATTTGGCACTAAGAACTGATTCCTAATTGGCTCCATTTAAAAAAAAATATGAAGCTTATCTCTGACTAAATCAGTCTTTGTTTGTGACCAGAGAGGTAGCTCTATCTCTATAATCTAATTCTAGTTTTGAGTCCAGTTTCATTGAGACTATGTAATTTGGCCTAACAACATCAGTTGAAAAGTGAAAAATTAATTTACATGAATCCAGATTGGCATAATGGATTCTTTTCCTTGGATTGATAGAATTAATAATGTGATTTGGTGTCAGAGAGATGAATAAGGATGAGAAGCCTGGTCTTTTCTTATTTATGAGATTCTTATGCACAATTTGTCTCTTAAATGTATTTTTATTCTTAACAGGCAATTTGATGGAGATGATATTTATTAAGTTGCCAACCTTGAGAGGAAGGCTAGATTTGGAGGCAAAAGATATGAATAAAAATTCCATCTATACCTCTTAGCACCTTTGGACAAGTCACTTCCCTCCCGAGGCCTCACTTTCCTCATCTGTTTAAAAAAAAAAAGGTGGAACCAAATGACTCGAAAGGATCCCTCTAGCTCTAAATCTGTTTCCCTGTTTATAAGCCTGTGATTCTCTCTCTCCAAGAGCTTATCATCTTATTTGGGAGACAATAGATAAACAGCTGATCAATACACATGCTATTGACAGTTCCAGAATATTTTGCTAGCTCCCATATCAAAATTATCAAACATTGTTAATGATGATGCAGTCTGTGATATTAAAAAAAAAAGATTAGAATGACAGTTTCAATTTTCTAGCTGTTCTTATCACCCTAGACTATTTATGTTTTCTAGCAAAAGAAAAAAAGTTTTCCATCTAATTGGTATGAAAAGTATATGTGATTTTTATATAGGATGAAATATTTTGTTTTTTACTGCTATTTCTTTTCCTCTGCTGATATACCAAATAAAAGTCACCCAGATCCAGCATTGATAAGGGATTCTGAAACTAGCAGAAGAATAAAAAATGTTATAAACGTCAATAAAACTGTCAAGTTAATTTTAATGGTTAAGTTTTAATGAAGGAAAACCTATTGGTGTATTGTTGAATGTGGACAAACAGCCTTATTTGTCTAAATAAGAATGATAATATAACCAAAGTCTAATCAAGTCATTGATTGTGACTTTGTTCTGTTTGGTCTAAGGCAAGAAGCTAGTCAGGGATCACAGTGAAAAAGCTAACAATTCTGAGAAAGGCTTATTTCTCAATCTTGTTAATCTGATTAAAATATGATTCTACAATGATAAGGCATATGCATGCAACTATCTGCTTGCAATGCTGACTAATCACCTCTAAAATGATTTGATATTGGCCTTGCCCAATGTTGTGCAACAAATGATTGTGTCTTTATTAATTAGAAAAATAGTCTCAATAATTGCTGATGACATCTTTATAAATATCATGATCAAATGTCCACTTTGGAGCCATATTTTGACAATGAAAAACATAGTCCAGTTGAATATTGTGTTTGTTCAGATACTATAAGCGGTTGATGCTCAGTCTATTTTTATTTTTTGTTTTTTGTTTTTTGCTTTTTGCTGAGGCAGTTGGGGTTAAGTGACTCACCAGGGTCACACAGCTAGTAAGTGTCAAGTGTCTGAAGCAGGATTTGAACTTAGTTTCTTCTGACTCCAGGTCCAGTGCTCTATCCACCTACATGCCCTTCAGTCTATTTTTAAACTGTTAAATATCATCCTTAAATTGACTGGTTACAAATTATGCCTTTTCTCCATCATCATTCTCCTTGAACTCTCTCCAGCCTTTGACACTGTTGATCGCTTTCTTCTCCTTGGTACTATCTTCTCTCCAGGTTTTCAGGACACCCTTGTCTCCTGGTTTTCCTCCTACCTATCTGACCACTCCTTCTCAGTCTCCTTTGCTGGATCCTGATCCTGATCAGACCTTCTAACTATAGGTGTTCCTCAGGGTTCTGTCTTGGACCCTCCTCTCTTCTCATATACTATTTCAGTTGGTGATCTCATCACTGCCATGGATTTAATTACTATCTCTATGCTGATGATTCTCAAACCGTCCTATCCTACCCTAATCTGTTTTCTGACCTCCAGTCTTACATGTTCAACTGGCCTTTCAGACATCTCAAACTGGATGTCCAGTAGATATCTTAAACTCAACATGTCCAAAACAGAACTCATTATCTTTCCCCCTAAACGCTTTCCTCCTCCTTACTTCCCTGTTACTATAGAGGGCAACACCATCCTCCCAGTCCCTCAGGCTTGTAACCTATCATTGACTCCTCACTATCTTACCCCTCCCCACCCAAACTGTTGCCAGGATGAGTCAATTTTACTCCTGCAAACTAAATTCGATTTTTTTTAGTGTTATGTAGACTCATTATGCCTTCATGGAGGGCAGCCTTGTACAAAATATGGTAATGGCTAAGATTTCACAAGATATAGGGTTCCAATTGAAGTCTTTGAAGGTGCTATTAGCTGAACAATCACTGCTGTAAAGCAAAACTATGCCTTCTTTTTTTAGCTTTTCAAGAGATTATTGAAACAATTCATCTTGCTGATGTTAAAATAAATCCTGGGTTCTTATCCATCAGCTACATTCATTTAAGTTAACTTTTGCCTTTCACATATTGTACCGCATTCTCCAGTTGGTGGTAAAAATGAGTGAGGCTCTTCAAACTCTATGTCCCAATTTATTTTTAGCAGTGACAGAGATGGAAGTTGTTGTTAAGTCTGATTCTTTGTGACCCTATTTAGGATTTTCTCGGCAAAGATACTGGAGTGGTTTGCCATTTCCTTCTCTAGCTCATTTTATGGATGAGGAAACTAAGTCAAATAGGGTTAAGTGACTCAGGATCATACAGCTAATAAGTATCTGAGACCAGATTTGAACTCAAGAGAGTCTTCCTAACTCCCAGTTTGGTTCTCTACCTACTACATCACCTAAGTGCCCCAGAGAGAGATGAGAAGCTTGCAATTTTTTTTTCATTTTGAGGAGAAGTAGCCCAGAATACTTTCAATTGTTTTTTTTTTTTTTTTAAAGATTGGGTTTCCTTATCTCTCTCAGAGGCTACTGATGGGTCTGATTCCACTACTGCTTGGCAGGGGAGATTTAGCTGACTCTCTTTCCAACCTGGGCTGGTTAACCCCTCCTTAGACATGTTGGAGGCTCATCACATAGATGTCAGACTTATGGGAGACTGAATTGGCATAGTTCACTGAAGCTCAGAACTCCTGAACTCAAGAGATCTACCAGTCTCAGCCTTCCTGGGTTGTTGGAATAATAGAAATATAACAACAATTACTACTTTTTGGGCAGCCTTGGGCAGTTAGGTGTTGCAATGGATGGAGTGCTGGGCTTGAAGTCAGGAAGATTTGAGTTCAAATATGGGCTCAGATACTTAATGTCTATGTGATCCTGACCAAGTCACTTAACCCTGTTTGCCTCAGTTTCCTCATCTGTAAAATGAGCTAGAGAAGAAAATGGCAAACCACTCCAGTATTTCTGCCAAGAAAACCCCAAATGGGGTCACAAAGAGTTGGACCTGACTGGACAGTAGCGAAACCACTACTTTTCAGCTTTTTTTTTCTATTTTCAATGACAGTTCAAGAATGTGTGTAGGGAATGAAAATTCAAACCCTGCCACTTTGTAGTTAAGACAAAAATTCAGTTTACTGGAAACATTTGGGTAATAAGATAAGACCTTATTTTACAAGGACTATTGGAAAGATAGGATTCAGGAGAAGTTGGGGATTTTCTTGGGATTTCCCTCATCCCAGGTCCTCCTCTTTAATATGGCTTTAGAGTCAACAACTCTTCTCAGTATCTCCTTTCTCTGTCACTGTTTACTTTTCCCTTTGCTCATTGCTTTCTTTTAAATCCAAAAATTCAGAATATCTTTTTTGTTGGATATTAATGCATCATCTTCTTTTTATACAAATTGTTTAGGACATAACTCAGTCTCTGAACACATTGGCTTTTATTGATTCAAGGAGGTATATAGGCCTTGTTCTTACCCACTTCTGATTTGTTAATTCAATCAAGAAGTGCTGTCAGCTGGTCAAGACACCAGAACAGAATGGAGTGGTTTCAACCCCACCCTTATGTTGATGGTAAATTTCAATCCCAGCATCATTTTGTTATGATACAAAAGAGGAGTTAGAAGGAATTTCTTCATTTTATTTACTCCTAAACTCAGTGACTCCTGACACTGACCTGAGGAGTTGGAAAGAATTATTTCATTTTTCTCACTCCCTGAACTTGGGGATGGTGGGGAGCGATGGGGCAGATAGGGGGTGAAGCTAGGTGGCACAGTGGATAGAGTGCTGGGCCTGAAGTCAGGAACACTCACCTTCCTGAGTTCAGATCTGACTTCTCAGACACTTAATAACTGTGTGACCCTGGGCAAGTCATTTAATCCTGTTTGCCTCGGTTTACTTATCTATAAAATGAACTGGAGAAGAAAATGGCAACTCTAGCATCTTTGCCAAGAAAACCTCAAATGGGGAGTAGAACACAACTGAAGCAACTGAGTAACAACAAACTCAGTGACTCCTGATACTAACCTGCATTTTGAACAAGAAATTTGTAAAATTGTGATTGTAATGGGAAAACTCCCGAGCTTAGATATTAGCGAGAATGATACGAGAATCACTGACAATAAATTTAGTATCATTGGATAAGTTGAAAGCTTAAGTTGATTGCTTCAGGGTTATGGCAGATGTGTTCCTGAAGGTAACACTGCAAACATCACCAGAGATTGGCTTAATTGGATTCTGTCTTCCATCTTCTGGGAGTTTTACAAGTCTATTTGTAATCTTGCAAGTAACAAGCTGTTCATGTGAAAGTCTTTTCAGAATTAGCATATGGAAAAAAGCAAACTAAGGAGGATATTATCTCAACATTACCTTGACTTACTCATGATTTGGTCCATTGAACACAAATTTGGCTTTATAAATTATTTATAATGATGTGACCAAGGAATTGAATCCCAGAACACCTAGTGAGTATCTCATTTTCTAGGATAGGAAGGTAGGAAACTTTAATCTAGTGTGGTCATTTTGGTTGATTAGCTCATTATCTGGTTAAATATAAATATCATGAAAATTAATTGAATCTTTGTACATGTCTGGTACAAAGTACTAGGTTCTACAGCAAAAATTTGTTGTTTTAAGTTCTTTTTAAAATTTGGATTTTTAAAGTAAATTTTAGTTGTTAAATTTAAAAAAAACCTTAAAAGTTTTAGCTAGATGAATAAAAAGAGCACCATTTTTGAGAGAACTGCTTGAGACATTGAGAAGTGACTTGCCCAGGTGACACAGACAGTATGTGTCAGAAGGAGGTCTTGAACTTAGGTTCTCCTGACTTGAGGTCAACTTTCTACCCATGATATGCTGCTGCCTCTCTTTGATCCCTTATGATACACAAACTATGGTCCCTGGAACCAAATCTAGCCTGCCTCCTGTTTTTGTGTGGCCTAAGAGACATGATAAGAATGGTTTTTATATTTTTAAACAAAGTTTTATTGGATTTAAAAATGTAAAAACCATTCTTAGCTTGCAGGCAGTACAAAAGAGATTTAACCCATGAGCTATAGTTTGCCAAGCTCTGTCTTATGCCAACATCAACATCATTGGCTTACAAGGCAATATTCATTGTCTCAAATAGCTGTTTATTTTGCCTTCTGATGGACGAACTCTACCCACTATAAAAAATCCCTTTTTTCCCCCCAAGGCGTGACATAGTTGGTGTGGTGGAGCCCCTGCCTCATGATGAAACCTACTGTGACCCTGCTACTCTCTTTCATGTTGCTAATGATTATTCCTTCATCAGGTAATGTCTTCATCCACATTGTTTACTATGTGATACTGCCATAGATAACTGACTGTAGTGTGGCAGAGCCCCTTTGGCAGTTTGTTGAAACTGATGGACCTCTTCTCAGAAAGCTTTTAAATGCATACAAAAGAATACATAGGATTATATTGAAATAAAGGAAGTCAATTGTATTGAAATAAAAACGTAATTTTTTCTCATCCAGGTTCACTGGATTCCAGGTTCTTAACCTAGTTTAACCCCCTCGATTTGGAGAGGAGAAAAGAGAGCCTTAGAAGGAAGTGATCTGTCTAGGATCATACCACTAATTGAGAGCAAATCAAGAATTATAATCCATAGCTCCTGATCAAGTACATATGTTGTAGAGACTGTCTCAAAGTAGTGGAAGGTTTTCTGCCAAGCAGGTCTTTCAGTGCTTCTGGGGATGATTGCTCATAACAACAGGAAACACAATAACGATTTTCTAGGAACTGTGGTTTAGAAAGGGCACTCTTTGCTACAATCTATGGGAATTTCAATCGGTCAGTCAATCAGTCAATAAGCATTTTATTAAGTACCTTCTATATGACAGGCACTGTACTAAGTGCTACGGATACAAAGAAAGACAAAAGACAGTCCTTGCCCTCAAGGAGCTCACAGTCTAGTCTAATGGGGAAGACAACATACCAACAACTATATACAAACAAGCTTATATAGGATAAATTAGAGGACAGAGGGAAGGCTCAAGAATTGAAGGAGATACATGGCAGGGATTTTTGCTGGGTCTTAAAGGAAGCTAAGATGAGGAGGAAGAGCATCCCAGGCAGTCAGTGAAAATGTCTAGAGTCAGGAGATGGAGTTTCATGTTGAATAACAACAAGGAGACCAGTATCACTGGATTTCAGGGTATGTGGTGTGAGGAGGGAGAATGTGAGGCATAATTTAAGCTTCCATGTCCAGTTGTGATTGTCCTCGAGGAATTAACATTGAGATTGTTGTTTGTTTCTCCTTTAGGTATTACACAAGGACTGTTTATCAATTCCAGTTCCATGAAGCTCTTTGTAGAATTGCTCAGCCCTCAGCTGCTCTTCATAAGTGTGACATCACCAATTCCACTGCAGCTGGGACAAAGTTGCTGTAAGATGCCAGACCTTCTTTTCCATTCATCCATTCTCTAGTATGGCTCACTTTCATGTCTAGCTTTTCATTGGATTGTCTTTATGAAAAAGGAAAGGAAAAAAAGCCCTGTCTCAGGGTTCGTTGTCCAATTACTTTGCGTTATGGATGTTCAGTTTTTAATGAGGTAGGAGGGAACAACATTGGATGGCTGGATCTCACTGGGAGAAGTCACTCTATCTATTATAACTACAGGGCTACAACTGACTGCCGTGTAGCGGGAAGACAGAGAGACATGGGTGGGTGCGGATAGGAGAAAACCCCCAAATCATAGGACCTTGTTTATTTAGCTGTCAATAACAAAGTTACATGAGTCAGTGAGTAGGAAGGAAACTTAACTTGTATTGTTCATTTGCTGCAGATCTAGAATCTCTCAAATGTCTCTGAACACCTTTTTTTTGCATGTACAGTGATATGCTGAAGCTGGGAAAATCAGAACCTTGGACAGTAGCATTAGAAAATATGGTAGGAAATAAGAGGATGAATGCGACACCATTGCTCGAATACTTTGAGCCCTTATTCACATGGCTGAAAGAACAAAACAAGAATGCATATGTGGGTTGGAATACTGACTGGAGTCCTTGTAAGTACCGGATAATCATTTCAGGGCTTAAATTTTTCTGTCTTCTACTGTCTCTTGTTGGTCATTCCACATACGTAGTATAATTCCTTCCACAGAGTAAGTGCTAAATAAATATTTGGGGAATGAATGGATGAATATTGCATTATCTCTGATGGTGTGCATTCTCCATTCTATGCTGTGCACACAGTAGGTGCTCATCAAACATTTACTGATGGAGTCTTTAGCTGTAAAATGATGGGAATTCACCGGATGATTTCTAAGGTCTTTTCTACTTTCAAAATTCTGTGATTCTTCGATTGATCAAATCATTGATGTTGCATTAAATATATTGTAAGATCCAGAGTTTGAAGCTAAGGGAGGGAAGAGGAGGGAAGCCATAATTGTTCTCCTAATCCTTACTGTTGCTCCCACTCATCTGTCATTTTGTATACTAAGGAAAGAGGGATATAGAAAAGAAGAGAAGGGAAAATGAAAAGAAGAAGAAAAAAGAACAAAAAGTAGAAGAAAACATAGGAAGGCAGTTCTGGAAAGTGGATGTTATAAATAGGCCCACCAAGTCCCCCCCACAAAGTAAGACGGCTTAGTTCTCAGCCAATAATGAAACTATTGTCCAGAGTGAAAGAAGAATCATTTATTACGTTTCTTGAAAGAAATGGATGCATTCCCTTTAATGAGAGAAGCATCCCAATACAGGAGCGAGAGCAAGCATTATACTATTATTCTATCCAGTCTCTCCCTCAGACCTCGGATTGGTCCAAACTCTTCCAGGTTGCAGTCTTCCTGTCCCGCCCACTTCATGTCCTTCCTTGATATGTTCTCTCCACCCTCATCATATGTCCCATGTTGTGTAAATGAATAAAAATTCCTCTCTAGGGTATGTTGGATAATATATATGAGGCTTATTAAACCTGTGTACTAGCAAAAAGTCAGTGACCATCCCTTGAACCTGACTAGTTTGAGCAGGTTTCAGCCTGGGCCCTCTTCAAGAGGAACTTGTAGAATTCTTCCAGTTATATGATTTGATAGGGTTGTTCTGCCCTTCCTCCTCTCATCCTGATTTTGCACATTCCTGCACGTCCTATGCAATATCTGTTTTTGCAATCTTCATTGTTCCTATAGAGTCTGTGAAAACCAAACTGTTAGTATTTCTTACAATTTCCTCATTTTCTTTTAATAAAGATTTGGTTTCCACACCTTCCCAATTTCCTTATCCTCTAATCTCTTTAACATAATTTTGCATTTTCCATCACTGGGGAAAGTCTCATTGGTACTTTCAGTCATCATCCTTATATTACCAGAGCCTGCCATCTGAACTCCCACCGTAGGTCTTACTGGGGTAATCTTTGGTGAGGGATGTCTCTATCTATCACTGTAACAATCCTCTAGTACATGGAACTATACAACATCCTACAGCAGTTAATACTCCTGAATGGATATAGCCATTCCTTTCTATTTGCCAAACCAGGATTCTAACTATCTCTTTAATCAGTTATCTATCCCAGAGTTCTCTGCCAACTCCTCAGCTAAAATAGTTAAACCTTGCAATGCCTAAATGATAGTTCTATCTGGGGTTGTGCTGCTGGGCAACATGTCATCAAGGGATTTTGGGGACTTAAAACAATATGGGAGAAGGAAGGAAGGAACTGACTGACGCATCGACAAATTAAAAAGGGGGCGGGCCCCTTATTAAATACAGATACAGAGACCCAATATAAATTGTCCATTTAAAGCTTCAGAAGTTTCTTCTCATACAGTTGTCTGACACTATGGATATCATCCGGTGAAGTCTTCTGGTCTAAGTGCTGTTCAAACAGTGTCCAGTAGACTCTCTTCTCATAGAAATCCTCCTTCTTGTGTCCACTCTCCTACAAGATTGATCTTAACCCAATTTTTAAATTACCTTGCCAATAACCAGGGCAAATAACTCAACCCCCATGTCTCCACCTTTACAGATCAAAATTGGAACCTTGGCCAATTATCGTGTTTTAAGAAACTCAAATTAGAAAAATTAGAACCTAACCTTACACTCTGCATTACTTCTAGTTTTATACCTTGCATTAATTCATTATTCATTCCTATTCATATCCCCCCATCAGGAGGATGAGATTCCACTAAAGAACCAAATAATATCCTGGTTCTATAATCTCCTGGCCTAATTATCCCCATATCATTATGAGAAATTAAAGGATCCTGACTTATACAAGAATATAGTAGTAACAGGTGTCAGGACTGAATTCTTAATTCTGAAATTCTAGGTCAAATAACTCAATCTCATACTTGCATCTTACTATAATAACCTCAGATGTCCCTGCATCAATCTGTTATTTAATATATTTGATATTTATGCTTATAAAACTTATGATTATAGTAATTTTCCATGAAAGAATAGGGACATTACTAAAGTAAGGGAACAATGCTTCCTCAGATTCATGTCAATTCTTGGCAGAATTTGTATAGTAACCAACTGCATTGAGACAGGTTTAAAGTCTGCCAGGTGTCCTAGTGGGAAAATTGAGTCAGGAGAATCCTACCTCAGCCATGCAGAAAAGTCATTCTCCTGACCTTTCCTTGAGAACACCCTCTTGCAGCTCATAGATGCAGCTCACAAACCACCTTTGCAGGTTGCTGACATCATGGGTCAGTAGCTCAATCAGTTCCTTGTTAACCATACCTGGAGTTAGACTGTTAATAGTTCATTAACAGTCCCCAAAGTCTTGGATAGCAAATTCCCCTCATCAGGACTATAGTCCTAGTGCTCTACTGTCTATCACTAGTCTGATAGCCTTGGGCCACATCCAGACTCTATTCAACCTCAGAGTCACTCCCAATCAAGACTTCCCCAAGCCCTCTAGTCCTTGCCTTAAGAGCCTGGATCATATGGCCCATCCCCCAACAAACCCAGTCTTTAGGAGGCCTGGGTTGACAAAAAATTTTTTTTCTTCTAATTTCTAATTGAGGTCCTGATATATTATAATTCCAAATTAGTACATATCAAGTTGTTCACAATAATGTTTGCACCACAGGGCATGCATTATAAAATGATTTCCACAATAGTAATAAACTTTAAATGAAGTTGACTTTTCCATTACTGCAAAAATATTCCATAAGTTACCTCCCTCTAAGAAAATTACACTGAAATTCTTTTCCCCAAATTGAAGATGTCTCTGATTTAGTTTCAGTAACTAATAGAATAACAACTAGATCCCTCAATCAGTTGTACCAATAACCAATTATTCTTACATCATTTTGAAACATTTAAGGACCTTATTCCATACAGACATATTTTTAGTAATAGGCAAATGTCTAGGCCAATACCCATTTCCTAAGTTGCTTAAGAAATAGAAAGGAATGTAATCTTAGGCTGAATAGCTCAGATCTTAAACACACACTTTAATATAGTAGCTCAGATGTATTTTAGCCTTAGTCTGTGGAATAATGATTCAACATTGTGTTTGTACCTTTGTTTCACAAACTTTTTCCCTTTGTCTAATTATTCCCAGATCATTCAGAAAGAATGTCCTATTCCAGGGATTTAATCTTTCACATGACTATGCAGGAGTACTAATTTATCCAACTATTTGGGATATGGGATGACTACACATTCAGATTGAAAACAGCATAATTTCACATACTTGCATTGTGCTCTTGTCTTTTACTGCCTATCTGCTTTGATTACAGAAATTTGCCATGAAAAGGAAAAGCAAGGACAAAACAGTTTTCCAGCCATGCAATATCAATTCCACGTCATAGCCAGACTCAGAAATAGTTAGGTGGAAAACATTCCTTTTCAAAGGAACACAATGGGGAGGCTGAGTCAGCAGGATCTTGTCCTAGGCTGAGGCTAAGACTGTCCTCTCAGCTTTTCTAGATGCAAACATCCACCTGTAACAATCACATTCTCTTTGAGTAGCTTGTGGAATTTCTCTCAAATGGTGGATCATTGACTATTGATTATGGATGGATTTTTTATGATCCATCAGACAACTCAAAACATAATTTGTTATGGTCCCAAGAGCTTTTATCTCAGATGGCAAGTTTCACTAATCAAAAATTTACCAGGACTCACATATCAAATTTAAACTTGTCCTTGTACAAAAGCCAATCACTGGAGATCATTTCTATATACTTGCAAATTCACGGAAAGCCAAGTTTCCCATTTAGGAGCTCCATAACCCAAACAAGGTCTTTGGCAAGTTTACAAAATTAAGGAGGATCGATAGGGATTCCAGAGAAGGGGCTGCCTTACCCACCCCATCTACCTTTAGAATTGCTATGGGCTGTGCTTTCCCACTGGCCCTGAGAGCTGCTCTTTTCCAACATACACACAGAGTAATCAATTACCAATTTTAAGTTTTAGCATTAAAACAATAACCAACAATCTTACAATTTTCAAAAAGTGATAACTAAATTGTATTAGCTATAACAAACAATAAACTTCAGAAAACAACAATTATGTTTCCAGATTATCACATATAGAAATTATTGCTCTTATTACTCTGAGTACTTTTAACAATTGCATTAAATAATAATAATGCCACATCTAACATATGCAATTGTATTAAGCATTTTACAATATCATTTCCCCCCATAACAACCATTATTATTATTTTTTATAGAACAATAAAAAATCTAATCAGATCCAAATTTATAATTGCTAATGATAAACATTTAGAAACATTTTTGTTTTAAATCAAGTACTCTTGGCCCTTTAAAAGGAGATATTCTCCACAAATTTATATATTCTCCTTTAAAAAACACGTGGTGATAATTCCTGCTCTAAATAATTCTCTCTCCTTTTCTTTCCTTCTTCCTAGCAAAGAACAAAGAAAAAGTCCTCTCTCCTTTTTAGAGGCTTATCAGATAAAGCCACCCTCCTGAAAATCTTAGGCTTCAACAGTTTGAATCAATGTTAACTGGTGTAGTCAGTTTTCTAGCCAGACTTAATAAAGCCCTCCTAACAGGATTATCCTGTGAGGTGGTTGGTCTTCTAACCTTCTATAACTATATTGATTTTCAAATCAAACTACAAAATTCTCATTTTCAATCTTTCTACTTAAACCAAACTTTCTCACACCTTCTCAACATGCTTAAACCATCTGAAGCTGGCACAAAGGCACCCAAAACAACCATACAAGGGTGGAGAACTTAAGAGCATATGGCTTACCTCAAAACACCCTACCCCCATCTATTTATTCCTCTTTCCTAATCTTTCAAACCCATTACTCAGACTACCTCCACTTTCCTTTACATTCCAAATTTTTTTTTCTAAATTATACTCACCCAACTTTTGGTTCTGCTTCTCTTTACCTGCTAGGAGAAAGTTAACCGCTAACTGATTTACAAATCAAGAGAGTTGTATTTCCCCCCATACCCTTCACAAATGTCTTTTATAATGTTAATGTTACAAAGACAGTGATTTGAACTCTTAGCTTTGGGATCTGATTAAACCTGAATTAAAATTCTTCTCAGCCCCTTTCTTCTCTCTGCCCTTTCAGTATCTCCCTGCTCTTTGATTCTAATCTCAATCTCCCTCTGAAAGACTAAGATAGGAATCCTTTCTCACTGTTCTTTCTCTAAGCACAGACCTTAAAAGTTACTTAAAAATTTTTCTGGCATACATAAAACATTTACATACATACAGACAGACAGACAATGTGCGCATGATTCTAATTCTAACCTTGACCAGTCAAAACAAACTCATTTTGCCCCAGGGTCCCCTTTGAATGGGTTCCAGGGGTTTTTCCTCCCCTCTTCCCTTCACTAGGAAAAGTTTTTACCCCTGTGTTATTTCCTTTCCAGCAGGAAGCACAGTCTGACTCCCTCCTGCTAATAGGAGTTTTCATTATCCCGGGTAGACGCACTACCACAATTTGCTAGCATCCTCCCCAGTGGACTGCTTTGGGGAATGTTGGGAAGTGAATCCTCACTCTTCCCAGGAGCCTTTCCTTCTGAACCCCAGCCCCCCCCCCCCATCCTAGGATTTTCCTCCCACGGCCCCCAAGGGCTGGTCCTCCTAACATGTGCCCGACCGACAAGAATAGGATTATGCCACCAGTTCCTATCTTGCTCCGAGATCTCAGACTTGCATGGTTCCTGGCCACTGCGGTTTCCCCTCGATTGTTTGTCACTCTCTTGTCACTCTGCTTGGGCAAACACTGAAATCCTGGGATCTGAACTCACCACCTGGGGCGATCAGAGAAGAAGACTGAGACCGCTCAATCTGAATGAGAGCACTCTTCCCAGTGTTCTCCTTTAGTTAGCTCCCGGGGTCTTTCAATTATGCCAGACGATTCCCCAGACTTGTTATAAATAGGCCCACCAAACGTCCTCCCCGTAAAGTAAGAAAGCTTAGTTCTCAGCCAATAATAAAACTATTGTCCAGAGTGAAAGAAGAATCGTTTATTGTATTTCTTGCAAGAAACAAGACGTGTTCCCTTTAATGAGAGAAGCATCCTGATACAGGACCAAGAGCAAGCTTTATACTGTCATTCTATTCAGTCCCTCCCTCCAGAGCTCAGATTGGTCCAAACTCTTCCAGGTTACAATCTTCCTGTCGCGCCCACTTCATGTCCCTCCTTGATGTGTTCTCTCCACCCTCGTCATACGTCCCATGTTAGGTAAATGAATAAAAATTCCTCTCTGGGGTGTGTTGGATAATATGTGTGAGGCTTATTAAGCCTGCCTACTAGCAAAAAGTCAGTGATGGTCCCTTGAACCTGACCAGTTTGAGCTAGTTTCAGCCTGTGCCCCCTTCAAGAGGAATGTATAGAATTCTTCCAGCTCTATGGTTGGATAGGGTTGTTCTGCCCTTCCTCCTCTCATCCTGATCTTGTACATTCCGGCACGTCCTATGTAATATCTGTTTTTGTAATCTTCATTGTTCCTATAGAGTCTGTGAAAACCAAACTATTAGCATTTCTCACATGGACAATCTTAGAAGCAGGACAGGGAGAATTAAAGCTGCCAAAAGAAAAATCTGATAACTCTTACCTTGCCCTCACTACCTTCCTTCCTCCTTTTCCATTTCATATCCCAGCACTGGGGAAAAATGAAAGTGCAGCCAGACCTGGTAGCATTCATACTTCTCAACCTTGCCATTTCTTTTAAATCAGATAATGAATACAGCATCAAAGTGAGGATAAGTCTGAAATCAGCACTTGGAGAAAATGCAGTAAGTAACTTGGGTATCTCTTCCATTATTTTTCTTGTTATGTATTCAAAAAGAGGGTGTGATAAGAAAGCACCAGTATAGCTAGAAGATAGAAACCATATTCCTCTCCTAATAACTTCACCCTATGGACTTTTTTCCTTTGGCATTTAATTTTCTCTGATGTTGCTTTTTTTGGGTAAGTGTATTGAAAAAGCAGCGAAGAGGAACAGTGGTAGAGTGCTGGGACCTGAAATTGAATCTTCCTGAGTTCAAATCCAACCTCAGACACTTACTAGATGTGCGACCCCGAGCAAATCACTTAACCCTGTTTGCCTCAGTTTCTTTACCTATAAAATGAGCTGGAGAAGATGGCAAACCACTCCAGTATCTTTGCCACAGAAACCCCAAATAGGGTCACAGAGAATCTGAAAACAATTAAACCGCAACTGGAAAAGACCCTCGACTTAGAGTTGGAGGACATGGGTTCAAGTCTCAGCTCTGCTATAACTTGTGTAATGTTGGACACACCACTTAAGCTCTCTGAGCCTCAGTTTCCTTATCTGCTAAATGGGCAAGAGAAATAATATTCTCCCTGCCTATTTCATAAAGTTGTTAAGATCAAATGTTATATATGTAAAGAGCTTTCTGAAACATTAAATGGTGTGACATTAACACATGTGAGCTGTTATTGTAATTATTATTATTGTTATTATTTGCTACAATCTCTTGAAGTTGTTATGGTAATCAATGAGATTTCTGTGCTAAAAAATGGAAAATTATGCAAATAAGAGCCCAAAGACGCTATTATTCATATCAGAGAAAGATGCTACTAACCCACCCTTAAGATGGTTTTTATGCTGCTTCGATTATTTTACTAGAAGACGTTATAGATTTTCTCTTAGTTAGTCAGCCACCTTTACAATGACATACATATTTGAGATAATCTTGACTCTGTCACTTGATACCTGTTTAACCTTGGGCAAATCTGGGCCTCAGTTTCCTCCTCTGTAAAATGAGGGGCTTGGACTAGATGGCCTCAAAGGTCCTTTCCAGCTCTAAATCCCTGACCTTGTGATCCTTCTTAAGTGTTTTAGGTCTCAGGGAGCAAGTACCTGTCAGTTGCCTGGAAAAAATGATTTTTGATTGGTTCTAGTTGCCTTGTTATAGTAATGTTAAGCCTACGGTGAGAATTCAACCCTTTTAAAAAAATCACTTCTGTGTCTCGAGACATCCATAATTATTCATTTTTCATATTTTTTGTTAAAGACTAAAACCTATCAAAGAAATTAAGTTGAAGTAGATATAAAAAATAAAAAAAAACATTCATTTTTCATATTTTTTGTTAAAGACTAAAATCTATCAAAGAAATTAAGTTGAAGTAGATATAAAAATGTGAAGCATCTTCTATTGTTGTTGAACTTTTTTTTATTTCCATAAAGAACAAGAAAGTTGACAAAATTGAAAAGACCCAACATACCACTCAGGTTACAGTGATCAACAAGGCTAGTGAATTAAAAAAAAAATGATATATACAGGGCATCCTGAAAGTCTTAGTTCAATTTTAAGTTATTTAAATCATTAATGTTTAAAACTGCACTAAGAATTTTGTGACACTATATTAAAAATAATTATAGAATACATACCAGCGTCAAGACTAGACTAGCAACCCTGTAGAGCAAGAACATAGGTAGTTATTTTCCTATACTTGCAGGCCAAAGCAATTAGTGAACTTGAGAAGCCTCAGATTCAGAGCAGATAGTTGCTAATTGTCAGTTTTTGTCACATAAAATTACCCTTGGTAAGTAATCAATTATGCAACAAGCATTTATAGGTTGCTGACTATGTACCAGGAATTGTTCTGAGCCCTAGGAATACTATGACAAAAGAGAAAAAGTGTCTGCCCTCAAGGTGCTCACATTTTATCTTTTTCTCCCTCCTCAGTATGACTGGAATGAAAATGAAATGTATTTGTTCCAGGCTGTAATTGCTTTTGCCATGAGACAGTATTTTTTCCAAAAAAAAAAAGAGACCATCCCTTTCAGGTGAGTGAGTGTGTTGGGTTCTCAACTCAACAAAAACAAAACTCTTAGTTTGGTTGGGGATAGGGTTTTGGGGATATTCAGTTTAACCTGAAGGTCTACTCCCATTTCAGTGAATTGTTCAATGTATTCATTGTCGTAGAGTTTGGGTGAAGCAGATATTGCTCGACATAGGAAGACTGTCAGGGGTGGAAGTATGTCGATGGCAGTAGTATTTTCTGTCTTGTTCTGCCTGGCCCTATGAACAGGCATGACCATTGTGTTTCACTTACTGTTTCCCCATACCAGCTTCATTTAGGTTATTTAGACATTCTCTTCATGGAATGAGATCAATACTCTTCTTATCACTTTGTCTCTTTTTCTCAGGAACTCTTGTAAGTGTAGCATATGGTATTATCATTCTTCTTGGGTCATTTCATGTCACCTGAGCAATGAGAATTCTTCCTGCCCATTGACTAGTTGAATGGGGACTGGTGGTCTAGAGAATGTTGTCCTGGCTATAAGACCTACAGGGGAACCAGGATGAGAAAAACATACAAAAGGAATAGCGTATTTTTCTGTCTGGCAAATTGAATGACTGCAATAATTTCCTGTTTTCTCCTACTGGCAAGTTTCTTCCGGGGCCTCCATTTTGGCTAGCCATTCTTTATTCCCTTCCTGGCTCTACTTCTGCCTTTTTGGACATGGGCACCTTGTTCATCTTCTTTGGGTGAAGCTTTCCCCACGGCTGAATCAGGCAGCCTCTTCCCTCTCTACCATTGGAGACTCTCTGGAGACTTCTGTTTTCTTTTGTAGAGCTTATTGGCAATACTGGAAGCCTAAAGCTGTAATTAAAATATTTTGTATTGAACCTTTGCCCTTTCTTTGTCTTTGCTTTCTTATCCCATTCTTGGATCCTTTTCTTTAAGATCAGGAACAGAGTGAGACAATAAAGAATTAAGTGGACAGAGGGACCTAGTAGCATATGCACAATGATATCTGACACCTATCAGATTGGCTAAAATGATTGAAGGCAAAAACAACAAATGTTAGAAGGGAAATGGAAAAATTGGGCCACTAATTCATTGTCGGTGGAATTGTGAACTGACACACCGGCAGCTCTTGATCTCTTTTCCCGTGCCAACACTTAGCACAGGGCCTGGTACATAGTACGTGCTTGCTTAGTAAAGGCTAGTTGATTGACACTAAGGGCTCAGATGCTCAGGTTTCTATCTACTAACAAATCTTCTTTGGAGCCTGACGAGGAGGGAAGTTTGTAGGACTGAGAACTGGAAGGGATCTCAGGAATCATCTATTCCAGTGCCCTCATTTTACACATGAGGCAGATAGGTGGCACAGTTGATAGAGTGCTAGGCTGGAGTCAGGAAGACTCACCTTTGTGAGTTCAAAGCTGGCCTTAGATACTTATTAGCTGTGTGATCCTGGGCGCCATTTAACCCTGGTTGCCTCAGTTTCCTCATCTGCAAAATGAGCAAGAGAAGGAAATGGCAAACCATTCTAGTATCTTTGCCAAGAAAACCCCAAATGGGGTTGAACATAACTGGAATGACTGAACAACAACAATATGTTACAGATAAAGAATTTCTGATGCAGAGAGCCTAAGTCACTTTTCTGAGGTCGCACCAGTAGGAAGCACCAGAGATGAGAGTAAAACCAAGGTCTACTGACTCCAGGACCATTAGCGTTTCCATTATAATTTACTACTCGCCACATTGGCTGGGACAGTTGCTTGGCTGTGCTCATTTTCCCTCATCTGCTATCACTAATACTGGGCCAGGTTGGGAGGAAGCTTGGAGGGAGGGTAGTGTGTGTGTGTGTGTGTGTGTGTGTGTGTGTTAAGGGGTTGAAAGTTGTGGGAAGAATACTGTGAAGCTAAGTAAAGGTAGCATGATGATATAATACAGTGAAGTCAGATCAGAGAATCTGACTTCAAATTCCCACTCTGATATTACTTCTGTGACCTTGTGAGAAGTCACTTCACCTTCTTGGCCTCAGTTTCCTCACCTATAAAATGAAATGGTTGGACTATAAAATGAGGAGGAAGAGACCATCTGTGACCTATGGGGTTTATTTCAGCTCTAGGTCTCTGAGCCTTCTAACTAACACATACAGGTTGTCCCAAAAGTCTTAGTGCAGTTTAAGCTATTAAAACTTAAAACTATAAAGCTCTCCCTCCTTCCTACTTCCCTCCCTCCATTCTTCTTTTTCTCTCTCAACCTCTCTTTCTTTCCCTTCCTTCCTTCTCTCTCTCTCTGTCTCTCATTCCAAAAGTCTTAGTGAAGTTTTGAGTACTCTATAAATGCTTTGTTTTCCTTCCCTCTCCTTCCCTCCTCTTCCCTTCTATCTATTTCCTACTGTGTGCCAGGAACTGTGCTAATCTCTTTACATATTTTATCTCATTTGATCTTCACAACAGTCCTGTGAGGTAAGAGCCATTATTATCCCCATATTACAGATGAAGAGATTGAAGCAGAGATTAAGTGACTTGCCCAGGGTCCTACATCTAGTAAGTGTCTGAGGCCACATTTGAAATTTAGCCTGGGGGCCATAGTTGGGACTCTGAAAAGTTATAGGGCAGCATGAGCACTGAGTAACTAAGAGCAGAAGATGATGCGGAAGGGGGCCCAAAAAAGAGAGCAGGAAGCAAACATAATCTCCTTCATGATTTTGCCTGGAATGAAGAAAGGATAATGGGAAAATCATACCCATCTCTGCCCAATATTGTGTCTCTCCCCACCCCCATGTCATTCCACTTTTCCATATTCTTATTGCTATTCTTTTAAAAAAATAATTTATTTTTATTCTTTTAATTCACAACTATTTATTCTCTTTCCCTTCCACCTTCTCTGCCCCTTCCTATTAGAAAAAAAAAATAAACCCTTGTAACAAATATAAATACTATTGTGCCATAGCAAATGATAAAAAAGTTTCAGAGACCTGGGAAGACTTGCGTGAACTGATACAGAGTGAAATGAGCAGAACCAGGAGAACAATTTATACATCAACAGCAATATTGTAAAGATAAACAACTTTTGAAGGACATAATAACTGATCTGTGCAATGATAAGAGATTTTGCATCTTGTGTTTCTCCCTAGGGATGAAAATGTGAAGGTGTTTGATTTGAAACCCAGAATCTCCTTCTATTTCTTTGTCACTGCCCCTCCAAATGGGAGCCATGTTCCCAGAGAAGATGTGGAAGAAGCAATCAGGTGACATTTTGTTTTCTAATTAAGTGACATGAATATGTGAGCATGTGTATGTAGGTTTATGTTGGAGGAGACAGTCACCATCATCAAAAGGGCACAAGAGGAAGAATCATATCCAGAGGTTTCTTAATCCTCAGTTGGTTCAATTATCATTTCAAAAGCTTGTGAACAGTTATGGTTAAAGATTCTATTATATACCAATGTCAAGCCAATGTCCCTTCCTCCCTTGGGAATAAATAGACAGACTTTAGAGTAGGTTCTGCCTGAGAAATATGACCTGGGATCTATCTCAGGTGGGGCTGAGGGGTTCTTAGAGGCCTCTTGACATTTTATGCCTTCAGATCCACTAGCCAAAAGGAATTCCCATGTAGCCTTGAAATAACTTCCAGACAGAGATATGCTGGATCCAGCTCATATAGGCTTTGGAAAGCTAATTGTCAAATTTTCATTGTGAGCATTTCATTGTGAGCATTCGTTGTGAGCATTTCATTGTGAGCATACATCTCAGAAGTTGCCAAATGCTTGAGATTGGCTTGATTTATTGTTTTGTTGATTGTCCAGAGTCCAGACAAGACTTTTAAAAGTGATGGAGAAAATATGAATAATGAAGATTAAACCTAAAAGTCTGTTAGGTAGGGTTTTTTGTTTGTTTGGAGAGCTAGTTGTTAAAACATTTACCAACATACCAGGGTTCCAGGGTTGTAGGCTGTGAAAGTCCTGAGGACCAGTGGGACTTCCAAATTTGGTCCCTTTCTCCTTTCTGCTTATATGCCTTGGGACATAGCTATAGTCCGGCCTGAAATACCAGAAATGACCTGTGATTGAAACTTTAGCAAGGAGTACTCTTTTCTCTCTCATATTTCAATTACATTATGAACCTCAGGTCTTTCCAATTAACAAACCTCTTTACTGCCTTCCCTACGATGGAAAAAATGGCAGAGGTAATTTTTATTGTTTGTGGATTTGGACAAGAGGAGGTGGAGGTGAGTATTCTGTATGGAGTCTGCATGTAGTGTTGGTTAAAGAGCTGATGTTGAAATTAGGAAGACCCTGGTTCAAGCCCTGCCTCTGCCACCTGCTGGTGGTATGACCCTGGGCCAGTCACATAACTTCTCAGTACTGGTGATAGGCTGAATTGTAGAGATGTTTAGCCTTTGATGTTTCTACAATGAAATCTTAGGTCTGGTTTCCTCTCCAACTCCTCCCCCCCCACCTTGCCACCAGAAATCAGTTTAAATGTTCTGAGAAAATACTGTCAGGCAGCTAAGTGGCACGGTGGATAGAGCACCGACCCTGGAGTCAGGAGGACCTGAATGCAAATTCAACCTCAGACACATAACACTTACTAGCAGTGTGACTCACTTAACCCCAATTGCCTCACAAAGAGAAAATAGTATCAATTCAGTCCAGAATGCTGAGTATTCAGCTGTTCCTTCCCTTCTAAGAAACAGACTAATCTCATCTGGTATAGACAGAGATAACTTGAAACCACTTAAAACATTTTGTGAATTTGTGAAAAGTGCTCTGAGTTTTCATTTGGGGTACATTGATGAAATTCCAAGAACCCCAAAGAACTCTTTCCTCATTCCTCATTTCCAGGTGTATATAGGTATGTTTTATATGTGTATGCATGCATGCATGTATGTGTTATGTGTGTGCATGCATAAGTGTGTGTATATATGTATATGTGTATCTATAGTATGTATCAGTATCTGTATCTGTATATGTATATATACACATATATAATATAGATACATACATACACATACATATGTATTTTAGATATATATATATGTTGTTGTTTTCATGTCTGACTCTTCGTGGCCCCATGGATTATAGCATGCCAGGCCCTTCTGTCCTCCACTGTCTCTTGAAGTCTATCCAAGCTAATGTTTGTTGTTTCCATGACACCATCTGTCTATCCTGTCCTCTGCCACTCCCTTTTCCTTTTGCCTTTAATCTTTCCCAATGTCAGGGTCTTTTCCAATGAGTTCTGTTTTCTCATTATGTAGTGCATTTATTTATTTACTTATTCATTTCTCTTGTAGGTTCTTTCTTTAATTAGTTGTGTTCTTAATTACAGGCACTCTAGGGGCCGTATCAATGATGCCTTCCGCCTGAATGACAACAGCCTGGAATTTGTGGGCATCCCCACCACACTGGCACCTCCTTCTGAGCCACCTGTCACTGCATGGTTAATTGCATTTGGAGTGGTCATGGGAATGGTGATGATTGGAATTTTATTCCTAATCTATACTGGAATCAGAGACCGAAAGAAGTAAGTAGCCTTTTCTAGAGGCCTACATACTTAATTGTAGTAAGGATTAAAACTTCAATACCCCTATATTCTTTTTGTTTTTGTTTTTTTTGCTTTTTGATGAGGCAGTTGGGGTTAAGTGACTTGCCCAAGGTCACACAGCTAGTAAGTGTGAAGTGTCTGAGGCCGGATTTGAACTCAGTCCTCCTGACTCCAAGGCCAGAGCTTTATCCACTGCACCACCTAGCTGCCCCAATACTCCTATATTCTAATGGGCCTGTGATCTCATTGATGGGGACACTGTCTCCAAGATGTAGATTGCAACCCATCTTGACTATATCCTCCTGTAAATCCCCCCAGCAAGGATTTGTCCAACCTACGGGGGATCTTCCTCTCATCCATGACATATATGGGTATCAATAAGGTTTGTACGCTGAATGGAAAACTGAAAACATGGTGTAGAGTTTGACAGTGATATTATACTCAAATAGAAATGGATCACTAGGGATAGCATATTGACTTAGAAAACCACAAACTAATATTATGTTGTATTATATTTTTATTTATTTTGTTAAATGTTTTCCAATGACATTTTAACATGGTTTGGGTTAAGCAGGAGTTTTGCTGCATTGAGTATGACCTATCAAGGTCTCTCTTAAGAACTTTGAAATTGATTATGTGACATGAAACACTGACACAGGACTGCCCAGCATGGCATGCCCACATCAGAAAAGGTGCTATGCTTTATGAGCAAAGCAGAATTAAAATAGCTCAGAAGAAATGTGAGATGTGCAGATTTAGAGAACCCACTCCAAATGTTCACATGGACCGTTTGTACCCGACCTGTAGTAGAGCATTCTGAGCTCGTATCAGCTACAGTCAGATGCAATGTAGCTTGACTCTAACTTGGTGATGTCATTTTGGTCCTCTTCAAGGACGAAGAACAACCATGAACCATGACCACTAAACTCAAATAGGAATAGATCCCTGGGGGCAGCATATTGATTTAGAAGACCACAAACTAACACTATCTCTGTTGTATTATATTTTTATTCATTTTGTTCAGCGTTTCCCAATTACATTTTAATGTGATTTGAGCTAATCAGGAGTTTCGCTGCATTGAGTATGGCACATCTGGTATAAAGGAAAGAACAATGAACTAGGAAGAAAAAGAAGACTTGGGCTGCTTAAAAATGAGAATAATACTAATTTCATTAGTTGTGTGACCACTTGCAGAAATCATATAACCCTTCTGAACCTCAGTTCCCCTCTGTGAAATGAAAAAAAAAAAAGGATCATGGATTGAGAGATGGAAAGGACCTCAGAAAGAAAGGAGGAAACTCATCTAGTCCAAGCTTCTCCTTTTACAGATGAGAAATCTGAATTTTAGAGAATTAAAGTGACTTTCCCAAGGTCAAATCCCAAGGAAGGATTTGAACCTAGCTCCCTTGATTTCAGAGACAGTGATCTTTGCACTGGCCATGCTGTGTCCATAATGCATATTAGGGTTATTGTGAAGATAGATTAGTCCTTGTCAAACAACTCTGTGTGATGAGGTGGGAAAAAAGCATTTGATGTGGATTCAGAAGTTGTTTAGTCATTTCAGAAGTGTCCTACTCTTTGTGATCCCATTTGGGGTTTTCTTGGCAAAGATACTGGAGTGGCTTGCCATTTCCTTCTCCAGCTCACTTTACAGATGAGGAAACTGAGGCAAATAGGGTTAAGTGACTTGCCCAGGGTCACAAAGGTAGATAGTGTCTGAGGGCAGATTTCAACTCAACTCCTCCTGACTCCAGGCCTGGCGCTCTATCCACTGCACCACCTACCTGTCCCAAAGTTCCTTACAATACTGTTTGCTTGTTTGTTTTTTAATGCATTAAAAATGCATTGGATTACAAATGAAAATAATTATATTAAAATAGAGTTGTCAAAGTATTTTTGCAAGTTTATGGACTCCAAGTTAAGAAATTCTAATCTAGATTATGTAGTAGAATGTAAACATTTGGGGACATAGACTGTCATTTTTTAATTATTGCATTTCCACTATCTAATACTTAAGTGAATATATGAAAGATTGGGATGTACCTTACATAGATTAAAATTTCATGAATATTTGTGCTTCTGCTTTATTAGTGGGCTGTAGGACAGCTAGCATGGTCTAGTGGATAGAAAGCCGGTATAGAAGCTAGGGAGACCTGGTTTCTAATTTTTCCTCTGACATAAGCTGACCCTGTATCTTTGGGCAAGTTTTGCAATCCCTCCATGATCCAGCCAATTCTCTGAGATTATAAATTGCAGCAAAGGTGCCAGTGTGTATTGGTAGAGGGAATTTTTCTACCTGAGAATTCTCTATTATCAGTGGTTCTCAAACTTTTTGGTCCTTAACACTCTTAAAAACTGTTGAGTACTCTAAAGTGTTTTTGTTTACATGGGTCATATCTATTGATGTTTACCACATTAGAAATTTTAAATGATAAATCTTAAGTATTTATGAATTCATTAAAATAATAACAATCTCATTATATAACATAAATAATATATTTTTATGAAAAATAACTAAAATAGAAGAGTGGCATTATTTTACTATTTTTGCAAATCTCTTTAATAATCTGCCTTAATGAAAGGTAGTTGGATTTTCATATCTGCTTCTGCATTGTCTGTTGAAATATATTAGTTTGATTGAAATATATGAAGAAAATCTTGCTTCACACAAAAAAGAAGAGGTTCTATAATAAGCAAATAATGTCTTAGTTTTAAGGCACTACTATTATGTATTAAGTAGTATGTATTACTATTATATATTAAATACTATTATGTAGTAACGTTAAGACAAAACTACTTTAAGAATAGTTTTGATACCACAGATCCCTTGAAAGGGTCTTGAGGACTCCTAAAGGGCCAAGTTGTTCCACTTTGGGAACTGCTGCTCTATTTCATTGAAATTGTGGGCCCAGTACCCATCCCTGCTACTAATTACTACGAATTACTAATGCTATCTTATTTTCATATAACAGGCGAAACAAAAGCCAAGAAGCAAAGCGAGCAGAGAACCCCTACGCTGAAGTGCATTCCATTGGGGGACAACATAATGCAGGTTTCCAAAACACTGAGGATGTTCAAACTTCATTTTAGAAAATCTTTTCATTTTCTTACTCATTTCCTTTCCTGTAAATACTAACATTATATAGTGAACACAGGTGAGGCTCCTGTAAATGCCCTCGAATACCCAAAATACAACTCTGATCGGGAACTGCTTCCACTCCAACAAAAAGTTACAAAACCAAATCTGCTGTGTTTCTATGATTTACCACTTTCTCAGAACTACACATCTCTTTAGTTTCCCCAAGAGAAAAAAAAAGTAAATAAACAATGGCTTCTTTGAGGCAATGAGGCTATTGAAGGAGAAGAAAAATTGAGTATATCAAGTTACTGTATTATTTGAGGTGGGAAAAGCAAATGGTGACCTATGGGTGTGAGACACTTGTAATGATGGGGTCCTTAGCAGGCTGATGGTCCACTAATAAGTGGAAGCAACAAAGCAAAGGACAGCATGAGTTACACATTTACCCCATTATAAGATTTTAGCAGCTGGCCCAGATGGACGCCCAAGTCTTGGGGCATGACTCTAAAGGATAGAGGTGAGGAGATTGGAAGGATTCAGAATTGGGGTTAATAGGGTGAAAGGCAGCAAGATATTATCAACCAATCAGTCAATAAGCATTTGTTAAATGCTTACCATGTGCTGAGGATGCAGGGGACAGCAAAGGTTAGTCCCTGATCTCAAGGAGCTCATATGCTAAAGGGGGAGACAATGTGCAAAATAATTATGTACATATAGGATATATGCATTTGTATCTAGATAGTAGTCTCAGAGGGAAGGCACTCAGGAGGCAGGGGGAGAGAGGAGGGAGACCAGGAAAGGTTTCTTGCAGAAGGTGGAATTTGACCTGAATCTCAAAGAAAACCAGAGAATCTTGGAGTCGGAAGGGAGAAACCAGTGGATCTGAAGTCAGAGGATCTGGGTTCACAGTCTGATTCTATTTACATCTTGTGTGACTTCACCTTAATGGGTCTCAGTTTCTCATCACTGAAATGAGGGGATTGTAGGAAATTATTTCTAATGCTCCTTGTTGCTTGAAATCCTACAATCTCCCCAGGTAGCTACTTTCCTATCATGAAACTTTTCCAGTTTTCTGAGTTTGGTAATTGATGTTATGATAAGGATTCTCAGAGTCTTCTGGAACCTTCTCTGTGGGTCCACAAGTGCAGGATGGATTCTGTAGTACCTTTATTGTTCTGTTATTGGGTCAGTGAGGGGCACTCATAGGTCATAAGCCTCTTGAGGACAAGAGCAATGTTTTTTTACTCCCCTCTCCTCCACCTCCCTAGCCAGAATACCAAGCACAAGACTGAGCGTACTTGTTGATTTGACCCGACACACTCCCTTAACCCTCTCCCTTACAACCACAGGATTCCCATTCCCAAAGACCAAATCATGAGCCAACCATTGAAGTTTCCCGGTGAAGGGGGTGGGGGGGTAGACTTCCCATATAAAAATGAGATGTACAGTTATGCTTTTGAATAATAATAATAATAAAACAATAACTAAAACAAAGAGAAAGGTGACTTTTGTCTTCAATAGTGTGTTTCTATGTGTGATCCCACAGTCAGTGGTGAAAATGAACCTCAGAAATCAAAGGTAGGCAAAGAGTGAAAAAGAGTGCATACTGTTTTCTTGGCTCTAAGGCCTACTTCACTTTGCATCAGTTCATGTTAGTCTTTCGGTCCTTTTTTGTATGTATTTGTATTTGTCACTGCTTACAACACATCCATGTACCAGCGTTTGCTTAGCCATTCCCCAAGTGCATCTACCTTATTCCTAGTTCTTTCCTACCATAAAAAAAGTTGATATAAATGTTTTGGTGCATATGGGGCCTTTTTTTCTTATCAGTGACCTCCAAGGAAACTTCTTAAAGGAAGAATTGGTGTGAGCCCACCGTCAGTGGGACCTGGTAACCCAGGCAAGTTTGGATGGTGAATTTTCACTCTAACTTGAAGACTATACCCTTTTTCAGGGGAGATATTGCAGCAGAGCAGAGAAGAATGCCAGACTAGAATTCAGAAGCCCAAGTTTGAGTCCTAGCTGCGATACTTTCTAGACTTATGACTCTAACTAAGCAAGTTGATTCCTTATGCCTCAGTGTTTTCCACAGGCAAAATGGGAAGAATAATTTTTGCATTATCTATCACAGAAAATAGTTGGGAAGAAAATACCTTGTAAATTTTAAAGCACAATAGAAACAAGCTATTATTATTGTATCATTGTGGTTTTACATTTTTTAAAAAAACTGATAAAAAAGTCTTAAGCCAAAATGTTTAAAGTGAATTTATGCAGATAAATTGATGAAATTCACTCATCCCTATGGAAGGAAGGCTCCAACTGGCTTCCAGAGCAATCAGACATTTTCCTAAGGGCCACCCTGGACTTTTCTAAGAGAAGAGGAGAATACCAGTAGCTTGGTGCATTTGGAAATCCTATTCAGTGGTTTGACAGATTAGCAATTGCTTTTTGTTGTTGCTGTTGCTTTTTAATTTATAATAGAACTGCTTCTGGCTCCAGGGGCAGGGATGCTCATCTTCTCTCTCTAAAAGGGCCCCTTAACTCTAGACCTTTGTATATAGATAGGACTCAATGCTGAGGAGCCTGACCGCCACAGAGAGGGATCAGATCCTTTTCCTTGAAGTCTCTGGATCTTTATTCCCTCACCTTGAGGCAGGTAGGTGGCTCCCTGCTTGGCTTGCAGTCAGGAAGACCTGAGTTCAAATGTGACCTCAGACACTTACTTAGCTGTGTAACCCTGGACAAGTCACTTAACCTCAGTCTGCCTCTGTTTCCTCAACTATAAAATGGGGATCAGAATAGCACCTGCCTCCTAGGGTTGTTGTGAGCATTAAATAAGATCAGATTCATAACACAGTTAGTACAGTGCATAGGGCACCTAGGTGACAGTGGGTAGAGTGCTGGACCTAGAGTCAGGAAAACTCATCTAACTGAGTTCAAATTGGGCCCAAGACACTTACTAGCTGTGTGACCTTGGGCAAGTCACTTAACCCTGTTTGCCTCAGTTTCTTCATCTGTAAAATGAACTGGAGAAGGAAATGGCAAACCACTCCAGTATTTGCCAAGAAAACCCAAATGGGGTCACAGAGTCAGGCACGACTGAAAAATGATTCAACAAAAACAGTGCCTGACATATAGTAGGTGCTTAATACATGCTTGTTTCCTTTTACTCCTAGATTCCTGGGGAAAATCACTTAAATCTTACGTTTTGCTCATGTCTAAAACATCCAAAAGGGGAATAGAAAGATATTAATTGTACAGTGCAGCTCACTTATAAGGACAGCTATTTTTTTCACCCAAAAGAAATGCTAACAATGCAAAAGTCTCACAAACACTCACTGACAAAAACTTAAAGAAGAAGCAGTAAGTTATACCCTCGATTATACTCAAAACATGAAACATTTTGTGGGACCGCTGAATCGACATTCCACCTGTGACTCAGCTCTGCATTCTCTTTCCTCAAGGTTCCTGTCGAGGTTGAGTTCATCCTCCTTTTGGTGTTCATCTCCTCCAAGCAGAGCTAGCTATATATGTATGTGTATGTGTGTGTGTGTGTATGTGTATGTATATACACACGTGTGACTGTGTGTGCGCGTGTGTGTATGTGTGTGTATATACACACGTGTGACTGTGTGCGTGTGTGTGTGCGCGCGTGTGTGTGTGCGTGTGTGTGTGTGTGTGTGTGGAGTACCTAAAGGGGACACTTTCCAAAGTGCAGCTGGTCTGGACCTGAGTTCTTGCTCACCCTCCCACACTCACAACATTGCCTCCAAGGCCAGAAACATCCAACTTGGGATCATTGTTCAGATGAAACACAAAACAGCAGAGTTAGTCAGCGATCTAAGGCTGAGCTTCAAAATTGCTGAGCTAAGCACCTGCTTTAGCTGGTACGCATTTGCAATTACCATTTTTCTAGCAATGGAAGACAGCAGCCTTCCCCCACTCCTTCCCAGAAAGAGAAAGTTGTTTATCATATGTAATTGAGAGCCCAAGAAGGCAAAATCATTTCTTTTATGACCCCCAGAATAGCAGCTCTTCCTGGATCAATGGCCAGCCCTCTCTGCACCATGGGAATGAGGAAAATGGAGAAGAAAGGACCACCAAGGGTTTACAGCATCATCCTAAGCACCAAGCCCTCTGGCATTGAGCCAGAACAAATGTGGCCCCCTGGACTCAGCTCAGAGTCTTGCAGAGCAGGAGAACTCACCTATTCACTGACATTACAAACTTTTATTGATAACTTGTTTTTGTTTATTTTATTGATAACTATTTTTATATCACCTTCAGCTCTGAATACATCCCTCCTCCCCTACCCAGTGAGCCAATTCTGGTAACAAAAAGTGAAAAAAACAGGAGAGAAAAAAGAAAGCAGTATAAAAAAATAACCAGTATATGAATGAACTCACAGGCTCAAGTTTTTAAAAAGCAAACTGACCTACCCATTAACTGAATCTCACAGTATTCCATATGCATAGTTTTCCAGCTCTCCAAATGAAAAGAAGGTGTATTTTATCATCCCTTCTTTTATGATAAGCTTGGTCATTATTATTATACAGTGCTGAGTTATTTTCTGTGGTTCTTTCCATTTACATCATTGTAGTTGTATATATTGTTTTCCTGGTTCCAACACAGGCACGAGCTCATCCTGGTTTGTGAAACACAATCTCAATAATTCTCATAGCAACATATGTACTTGCTTCATTTAAAAAAATTTTGTAACCCTCACAATGCTTTGCATATAGTAGGTATTCAATAAATAAATATACTATGGGTTTTTTTGTTAAATATTTCCCAATTATATTTTAATCTGGTTTCACTGCACTCAGGAGTGTTGTGATCATCTATGCGTTGTTTGACATTTCTGTCTTATACCTAAGCTCTAGGTCAAGGTCTACCTCCTATATCAATTCCATGAATCCTGCCATTGCCTCTCATTTCTAGCCCTAACATTCTACAATCCCATGGATTCCTACTATCTTAACAGAAATCGAGCAACAAATTCTACACTGTCTTATACTTTTGCATGTTATTTCACGTGCGTTAGCTGAGTCTCCTCAACTGGCC